CAGTTCTAAACGATGTTGGTGGATTTTTGATGTGAGAGGACAAGAGAGGATGACTTTATTTTTTTTTTACTGGAGGAAGTGTTATGGATTATGGACTGATATTTTGTCCAGAAGCTACACTTTGAAGCCAAAAAGCATTTATGAGCAATTTCATAAAATCTGGTCCGTTAAAGAAACAAACTCGCCTACATCTTGGATGGCCTGAGGGTAAGTACATTTTTACCATTCCTTTAAGAAAGAAAACTTGTGTAAAAGCAGTAGGGCTTGCATAGACTAGTCGAGTAGTCGAGTGATCGACTACTTCAACCACTAGTCGGCGCTGTCGGAAACAATCGACTACTCGAGCATGCATTAACCATAATGCATGCACAGAGTTTGCAAGTACGACGTGCATTTTAGGATTACAATATTGCGTGTAGCTGTTACTTTCTATGACTTTCTCTATGTTGCATGTAAAATTAAAATATGTAATGTAATAATTAGGGGTGTGAAAAACGAATAACGGACAAGGAATAATTCTGCCTGAATATTCGGCTGAGGCTGGCAAAGTCTGGTGTTTGCTAGACAGCAGGTGAGCCAGGGGATCAGCGCAATATTATACACAGACCTCTAAAGTCACGCAATAGAGTGTGAAGTGAATGAATGTAAACTTTATGAATGAAAAGAGCGCAAATCAAACACCGCATTGCTGTTGCCTCTCCATGCATCTCAGAAATCAGAGCTTGGCAAGAGTAATATCACCTATAATAATACATCATACACCTTCTATTATTTGTATATATTTAAAAGGCAATGATTTAAACCTTAGGCTACGATGTGATGCGAATGAATGGAATAAGCACAGCGCGCTCACCAATCAAACAAACTCTCAAAAACCAAACCAGCTCTCTCTCATCTCTCTGCTTGCATGATAAATATATTTTTAGAAATTAATAATTATTTTAGTTTAACACGGCATACTTGTTCAGTGATAACTATGAAAAAAAGATAGTCATAACGGTCTTATCAAGTAACTGTACGACGTTCCACCTGGTTTTATCCGAATGCAGATACGAATAATTTTGTGATTGGTACAGATACAAATACTGGCTGTTACATGAAATTTAAAATATGTAATGTCATAATTATAAAGTTTTGACAATTTACATATGCAATTGTTGCATTAGGCTATGAATTAATAAGCGTTTATTGATAAGAACTATTTAATGTCTTTTCATTTACAGTAGCATGAACCACGAGTAGTCGAGTAACTCGAGTATTTTTTAAATAAGAAATGACTAGCAGAAATCAGTAGTCGTGCAACCCCTAAAAAGCAGTGACGTGAGTGACTTCACCTTTTAAGACAACCAACCCGAATCTACATTTCCCCATTCCATTCTTCTCCCTCTTCCCATAGCTTTTCAGCTCAGAGTATAAATTAGCTATAATGTGCTGTGACTTTGATATTAATTTGCAGTAGAAATTCCTCATCCTGTTTTTCAGTGAGACTGCAGTAAATCTGATGTAATTATTTCAAGAAGATGATCTGAATGAATGACAACAAATAAATTAAGGGAAATTAATCAATTATTTGTGGTATCAATAGGCCTGGTTTGCAATATAATATAAACAAACTTAACTTAGGCCTACTTAAAATGCCTTGATACAAGTACATTTAACTTGTACTTTAAATGTCTTACAGTATGATACATATGATCAGGGGCGCTGCTAGCAATTTTGGGCCCTATGAAAGAATATGAGGTTGGGCCCCCTACCGGACCAAACATACGCTATATTGCCCAAAGTATTAGGACACCCCCTTCTAATGAACAGGTTTGACTACTTTAGTCATATCCACGAGTACAAATCTTAATGTTTAAGCATACAATGCTATTCTAGGGAATTGTGTGCTTCTAATTTTATACCAATTGTTTGAACAGGTATACTATTTAAATGCAGACCTTTAAATGCAGACCTTGAGCCAAAAACTCATCACCAAACACCTGTGACTTGTACATACACTTTTGACCATTAGGTATCAGTAACATAATTCATTCAGAACCTGTTTTATGGACTTTCTGTACCACACTTTTCTGCTGATATGGAATGAGTTTGACTACTTAATCAGTTATATTAATAGAAATGCTTCACTGGGGCAAGCAAAAAAAATCCTTAAAAAAAAAAACACTTGCTTTCTAATCTTTTTGTATTCTATCTGTTTTCTTTTCATTTATTATACAATTAACAAAAGCAAAAAAGACCTCTAACACTAGCTTGCTCTATTCTTTTTCTATTCTATCTGTTTTCTTTTTATTTATTATATAATTTAAAAAACACTTGCTACGTGTACTACGTTAAGCTAATTGAGACTTGTTATAGCACTTGTATATCATTGCTCTTTTGTTGATTTCGATTGCTTCCATTGTCCTCAGTTGTAAGTCGCTTTGGATAAAAGCGTCTGCTAAATGACTAAATGTAAATGTAAAATAATAAATGATACCCCATAGCAGCATTTCCAGCAGTTTCTCAATCATGATGATCTTACTCAGCTTAATGTGACTATTAGCCTAACAGCTGTATTCCTTGTTTGCTAGCTACCTATGCACATACAGCACACAAAAAATTAAAAAATGTTCTACATTATGAACCTTAACCCAAAAACCTTTAGCTTCATACACTGTAGATACTTGTGACCCTGCCGGTAGAAACCCAACCTGCTGCTGCTCTATGTAATCAGAGTGTGAATTTTTAGATTTTCTATAGCAAAACTAAAATGTGCTTAAAAGTGCGACTGACCAAATCGTCTGGCTCGGTTTGCCCCCCCTCTAACTCGAAGACATCTCTAATTTGACAGTTTACCATCTGATCTCACTCAGTGACTCTAGGCTATGTAGGACGGGACTAAACCATGCACTGAATGGGGGGAGATAATTTTGCTGGAAATGCAGAAAAAAGCCGTAATTTTGTTTTATTTGTAACTCTTTGGTAGATACATTTATAATTTCTATAACATTACTACTACCACTGTTACTACTAATAAAACAGATCTCTGGGGGCCCCAAAAGTGCGTGGGCCCTTAGAATCGTCCTAACTTTCCCCCCCCCTTAGCGGCGCCCCTGCATATGATGTTAAAAAAAAAACCTGGCTTGTTGGCCTGTGAGGCATCTCTCTGAAAGTTAACTGTTAAAAAAATACAGTTGAATGGCAAATAATATGAGAGAACTGTTAACTGTCCTGTCCCATTCTTCTCCCTTTTCCCAATGCTTATCAGGTCAGAAAGAATTTACTTCAAATAAAAGTGAAGATAATATCTGAAATTGTTATTGCGTACTGTTTTACAATGCACTTCAAAACATTGAGGTACATGTAGTATCTGCCACTGCTTGCACTAAGTATAAATAGCATTTGACACCAAGTGCAAATAGATTCTAACTATTATTTATACTTAGTGCAAAGAAAATATTGCTATTTTCACCTAGTGTAAATAGCAACTTTGCACTTAGTGTAAATGGCACCCAATGCTAATGCAAATAGCCTGTTTTTTATTTTCTACTAGCTAAAAAAACATTATCCTAGTGGGAAACAAATGAATGAAGAGTGAATGCCTAAAATGAGACAAATACTTTGTACATTTTTAGTGAATGAGAGAAATGTTACACAACAATTTCAGTAAAACATCTGTTTGAGCCGCTAAACTCCCCATCTGAGATCATGGCAAAAATAGAAAGTCGTATCACATGCTGGCTAAGAGTGCTATGCTAACAGTTTGAGTTGTCACAAAACGACTATAAGGAAATCAGGTAGATCCCTTTTTGCTCAGTTACTATTACTGTTTTGTCACACATTTGTATTTCCTGCTGTGATTTAGATTTATGCAACGTTTAGCTAGACACGTGTGCTGTGACTTCCACATTTATTTGCAATAGCACATACCATTTAGCAATTCCTCATCCTGTTTTCAGTGAAACTACAGTAAATCTGAGTCAAGATTTCAAGAAGATGATCTGAATGAATGTAAACAAGTTAATTAAGGGAAATTAATCCATCATTTGCAGTATCAATAGGCCTGGTTTACAATATAATATAAACAAACTTAACTTACTTAAAATGCCTTGTATGATACATAAAGTTAAAAAAAAGAAAAGAAAAAAAAAACTTGGTGCGTCAACCCTCGATAATGCGAGTAAATCACTCTGATGCAAATTCCTATGCTAAGCAACCAAATAATGTCTATCTGATAGACAGACAGACAGACAGAGACAGACAGACAGACAGATAGATAGATAGATAGATAGAGACAGAGATAGATAGATAGATAGATAGATAGATAGAGACAGAGATAGATAGATAGATAGATAGATAGATAGATAGATAGATAGATAGATAGATAGATAGATCAAATTAGTATCAGATGTGTTTCAGATATAGCTCTTAAAGAATCAGATCCACTACTGTTCAAAAGATTAGTGTGAATAAGATTTTATTTATTTTTAAGAAATTAACACTTTTATTCAGCAATAAAGTCAGTAAAGACATTTAAATTGTCACAAAATATTTATATTTAAAATAACTATTGTTATTTTGAACTTTCTAACAAAGAATCCAAAAAAATAAATGAATAAATAAATAAAATAAAAATTGTTTACACAATATTAAGCAACGCAACTATTTTAACTATTTAAAAGTTTCTTGAGCAGCAAATCTGCATATTAGAATGATTTCTGAAGGATTGTGAGACTAATGGCTGCTGAAAATTCAGCTTTACCATCACAGGAATACTTAAAATGACATAAAATTAAATTAAAAGGTTACAATTACGTTTTAAAATATATTAAAAATAGAAAATGGTCATTGTGAATTGTAATAATATACCTTAATAAAGGCTTCTTTCTGTATTTTGATCAAATAAATGCAGACTTGGTGAGCATAAGATACTTTTTTAAAAACAAACAAACAAACAAAAAAATCTTCAGACTTCAAACTTTTGAACAGCGGAGTACCTCAAATCTAAAGTGAGCCAAGTTGCACGTCTCCTGTTTGACACAGCTACGTCTCACAAATGCACTTATGAACAGACCTGCCAGTGGTCTGAACAACAAAGGTCCTTATTTTTAAAAAAATTTTTTTTTTTTGATAGAGTTAATCCATATTTGTGCAATCAGCTTTTTAAATTTTGACTTAGTTACTCAGGAATAGCTGAAAAGTACCAACAGTTTATATTGATCAGACCCAATGCATTTCTCATAACTTTAAAGCTTTATGGCTTTTAACAGCTAAGTAAAATGACAGCTAAATTAGTGACAGAACCCTGCTCAAACAACTCGGAAAGGACCGAACTGTATGTCAAAGGAATGCAGAGGGAATGAGAGGAACTTTATCACTCATTTGCATCAGCACTGCATGAATAGAGGTGGAGCAACGCATGCAGCCCAGCACTATAAAACCATCCGAGCTGCGGCTTTATGGACCTCTTTGCTTCTATAACTGGCCTCATATATGCCTGGAACACAACTCACTAAGGTACATCTGCTCCTTCTTTCTCTCTCACAATCTAATTTAGTATGATGGTATCTAAACGTGCTTAATTAAGTAAATACAGAATTAAATAATTAACAAATAATATTCTTCATTTGAAGGGTGGCCCACTGAATGTCACGCATCTTTGCAGAACTTCTACTTCACAGTATCCCAGCGCTCAAAACACAAAGGTGAGATGTTTCCTGCTTTTGTCTTTTGAAAAGGAAAATCCGGTCCTGTTCGCGCCAGAGGAACATGAAACACCCCCTGCAAACAACATCAGTCCTATAAGCCTGTTTTTGATCAGTACCATTATTATACCACCTGCAAACATTTATAGGAGCTGCAACCACTCATGGCGAATCCAGTCCGTGAAACTACAGAGCAGAAGAAACCGCAGCCGCAGGGACCCGAGAGGCCAAATTCACCTCAGAAGTTTAAAACAAAGCTCATGCAATGCGTCTCTTACATTGCTGGAGACATGCCTGCGTTTGGTGAATGGATGAAAGGTACAAGTGTAAGCTAGATTAGACCTTACGGGAGAGCCAAATTTAGAAAGAAGGAAAAACAAGAACATTAATTCAGCAGTGAATAGTTAGGAGAGTTTTTGCACATATGTTTAGAGGGTAATCATATTCAAGTAGGGAAAAGCCTTGTTCTGTAACTTAGTTAAACATTTCTGTTTCTTTTACTACAAAGATGAGATGTTTCAACACTTGCATAATTCTAAAACTGTTCTGGTACTTGTAAACCAGTGGGAATGTGTTAGATGTGCTCATTTAGTTGATTTTCTCACCACTTTTTTTAGTCCATATACTGATACTTTGTTTCAAGAAGTTGGATAATGAGTGATGCACACTCGACTGAAAAACAATACGCTCTTACTAAAATTAATATATGCAGTCTGTTGACATATAGTGTGATTTTTTTATTACCTTTGTTAACTACAAAACACACACACACACACACACACACACACGGATGCAGATTAGTAGCAGTACTGTACAGTGGGGAAAATATTTATTTGATCCCCTGCTGATTTTGTAAGTTTGCCCACTTACAAAGAAATGAAGGATCTGTAATTTTTATGGTAGGTTTATTTTAATGGATAGAGAAGGCCTCGGTCTGGAGCTCCGTGCAAGATCTCGCCTCATGGGGTAAAGATGATCATGAGAAAGGTGAGGGATCAGTTCCGAACTACACGGGAGGAGCTTGTTAATGATCTTAAGGCCGTTGGGACCACAGTCACCAAGCAAAATATTGATAACACACTTCGCCGCAATGGACTGAAATCCTGCAGCGCCCGCAAGATCCCCCTGCTCAAGAAGGCACATGTACAGGCCTGTTTAAAGTTTGCCAAAGAACATCTAAATGATTAAGAGAAGGCGCATCAACTCGACTTGCTGTGTTTGGAGGGAGAGAAATGCTGACTATGACCCCAAGAACACCATCCCTACAGTCAAGCACGGAGGTGGAAACATTATGCTTTGGGGCTGTTTTTCTGCTAAGGGTACAGGACAACTTCACCGCATTGAGAAGCAAATGGACAGGGCCATGTACTGTAAAATCTTGGACGAGAACCTCCTTCCCTCAGCCAGAACATTGAAGATGTTCATGGATGGGTTTTCCAGCATGACAATGACCCGAAACATACCGCCAAGGCAACAAAGGTGTGGCTCAAGAAGAAGCACATTAAGGTCATGGAGTGGCCTAGCCAGTCTCCAGACCTCAATCCTATAGAAAATCTGTGGAGGGAGCGGAAACTTCGAGTTGCCAAACAACAGCCAAGAAACCTTAAGGATTTAGAGAGGATCTGTAAAGAGGAGTGGACCAAAATCCCTCCTGAGATGTGTGCAAACCTGGTGACCAACTACAAAAAACGTCTGACCTCTGTGCTTGCCAACAAGGGTTTCTGCACCAAGTACTAAGTCATGTTTTGCTTGGCGATGAAATACTTATTTCACTCACTCAAATGCAAATCAATTTCTAACCTTTATATGATATGTTTTTCTGGATTTTTTGGTTGGTATTCTGTCTCTAAACGTTAAAATAAACCTACCATAAAAATTACAGACCCTACAGACAAGTGGGCAAACTTACAAAATCAGCAGGGAATCAAATACATATTTTCCCCACTGTAGTAGCAGTAACATAATGTACATAATGTAAAGATGGTTTTGTATTCAAACTTCTATGCAAACCTCTATGGAGATTTTCTTTGTACCGACCATGTTCTCTCACATGTTTACCCTGTTCAGGGCAATGTATCCTGCTCCAGATTCTGGACTGGGTGCTGCGGGGAGCTGCTCAGGTGATGTTTGTGAACAACCCTCTCAGCGGACTGATCATCTTTGCTGGACTGATCCTGCAGAACCGATGGTTGGCACTCAATGGTTGTGTTGGCACTTTGTTTGCTACAATTTCTGCCCTCATCCTTGGTATTTAGGTGGTGATCTGTAGTGCATTAAATGTTGCTGCATTTAAAAAAAAAGCTGAATTTTCTGCAGCAATTACTCCAGTTTTCAGTGTCACATGAGCCAGCATTCATTCTCAAATAGGACTGTTTATACAGTATTTTTCATCAAATGAATGCAAATCTTTCAAAAACAAAAATCCTAATTATTCCAAACTTTTGACCAATTTTTTTCTTCACAGCTCTTCCGCTCAATCCCTGTGGGTATTGGGCAGGTTTATGGGTGTGACAATGCTTGGACAGGAGGGATATTCATGATCGCCTTGTTCATCTCCTCACCCATAACATTTGCACATGCAGCTATTGGATCAGTAGTTGGTATGGTGTCAGGTAAGAGATCACAAGTGTATTTGAATATTTAATAATAAATATCATCAGCATTGGGCCTTTTAACAACTGATGACTAACTGTCACTTTTTTACTGTGACTTTCAGGTCTTGCTCTTGCTGCGCCGTTCCAGAACATCTACTTTGGCCTGTGGGGTTATAACTGTGTTTTGGCCTGCATTGCCATTGGTGGGATGTTCTACACTCTCACATGGCAGACACATCTTCTGGCTGTGGTAAGTTCATACCAGCTATTTTCTCTCCTTCCTGATTAGGTATGTAATAACAAGTTCCTATCATTACACAGTTCTGGTCAAATCACTGAATCTAACATACGATGTATGTTAAAAGTACACAATGTATGACGTTGTGTTTGCGGAACGATGTATGTTAAAAGCACACGTCCACTTTTGTGTGAGTGAAGGAAATCCGCTTGGGAGTGGAGAGATTCGTCCTCGCGCACATGGATTGCGTAACATTATGCGCTCTCGACATTGTCATTAAGATCACACTATAGAAACCGCCTAAAATTAGAAATTTACTAAAAACAAGCCTATGGCAAGACATTTGGTAGGGGGGGCACCTGGGGTGGCCAGCCAAATTTCAGGGGGGGCCGGTGCCACCCCTGGCCACCACGTAGACACGCCCCTGATCGTTAGCATCTTGATGTTTGCACTGTGGACGTTCCGCAAGAGGAAACCACACAAAATAGACCAGATAGGAATGCAGAGGCAATTCAACTTAATTTAACTCCATTATAATTTTCCCTTAAATGGTTCACATTATATATAAACAGAAAACAAGACAGAAATAACACACAAAATAGGAGGAAGGCAAACAGATTTTGTTTTAATATGCAGCTGTCCTCACTTCTTATTAGTAATAAATGTTAAGTTTCTAGTATGTGAGCCACAGTCACTTTTAGCATCCAGGCATGGAGGCAGATACAAGTATGTCAAATTAAAATGCCAAATATTTTTTGTTGTTGATGTTTTCCATCATGGCATTGTTATATGATGGTGCAGTTTACTTTTATTTTTTAGATGAATGAGAATGTTTTGTGTTGAACAGATAGCCTGCACTATTTCAATGTTTCCATTGTCTGTAGCAGCTTTGTGTCTTATTGTTTGACTTTTATAAACTCCAAAACTGAACACTAGTGGTAGTAAAACACCACCCGCTTTTGTTCCTTTTAACGAATTAGGATTGCAGGGGCAGATCAATTAAAGGCTTTTTCACGCAATTCCTTCTACATTACTATGCTATGACCTCAAAACATTTTTACCATAGTGCATGATTAGCAAACTAACAATTTTCAAAAAATTGTGATGTTGGCATTACATAATCAGCCATACGTATGGTTTTGCTTCAGCCTGAGGTTTATTCATTACCGTTTTTGGTGTTAAGGGCTTTTACATTTGCTATAAATATAACTTCTTATATTAAAAACAATCAATCCCTGCTCATATTTAAAAAGTAACGCGAAAGTAATGTAACGCATTACTTTTCATAAAAAGTAACCAAGTAACGTAATTAGTTACTTTTTTAGGGAGTAACGCAATATTGTAATGCATTACTTTTAAAAGTAACTTTCCCCAACACTGCCCAAAATTGCATACTCATAAGCAACCTGAAAAACAAACCCAACGACACTAATAAGCAAGCCTGCCAACCCCGCCTCGAGTGATAAATTGCTTCATATACTGTATAAATAATAGGTCAAACACTTGATTTTGGCATGCCAAACATTTTAGATACTCATCTGACCGACTTTATTTATACACCATGATAACTAAGCTACTTGTACTCTACTTTTAAGTTTTCAAATAACACTCGCAAAACTTCCTGCAAACACTAAAATCAAATCTGCATTCTTAAAGTTCTTTTACTGACCTACACTCTTAAAAATAAAGGTGCTTCACGATGTCATAGAAGAACCTTTTCGTCTAAATGGTTCCATAAAGAACCTTTAACATCTGAAGAACCTTTCTGTTTCACTAAAGGTTCTTTGTGGTGAAAGAAGGTTCTTCAGATTACAAAAAGGTAAGAAAGAGATGGTTCTTTAAAGAACCTTTGACTGAATGGTTCTTTTTGGAACCAAAAATGGTTCTTCTATGGCATCGCTTGAAGAACCTTTTGAAGCACCTTTATTTTTAAGAGTGTAGTTGTTATTCATTTAATATATAAAGCAAGCTGCAGCTACAAAAACAGGGTCAATATACAAATGGAGCACTGTATATGCATTAATTTTTCTCTATTAACAGTCCTTATTTACTTATTTTACATGATGTTGTTTTCACTGATCTTTGCACCTAAATCTTTTTAGGAAAAGAGAGAACACGCTGCCAGAGAAGAGAGAACAGTGCCATCTACTGAATGTCTAGAAGGAAAACTTGTGGAATTTGTTCACAAAACGTTTTTATTTATTTTTTTTGTCTTGTATAAAGATGGGTCAGTAGTTTCCATTGTTAAGCAACACCTTAAAAACCTAGAATCCAAACCCAAAGTTTAACAACATAAGACAATTTCCCAACAACCTGTTCAAACAAACATATCACTTTTTTTTTTCTTCAGGCATAAGTTTTTCACAAGCCATTTAAAATACCACAAATTTTTCACAAGCAAGCATATTTTTCCTTTAAACTGTCTGCCAAGTTTAACAATTTAACGACTGGAGTTTGTGCCAAAAATAACTAGCATTTCTTAAAAGCAGCCTCTGACAGGCACAAAGAACATTTCAGGGGGAAAAATCATTACATAACTTATTTTGTGAACGGCAGCCAATAACACAAAGCACTTCATGAGGGACATGACAGAAATCAACAGGTTCATATGAATCCTCAATTATGCTGACAGCTGTAACAAATTCCAGAAAACGGATTCAACAGAAACATACACTGTATTTTTAACACCTCATTGTGTTTAATTAACCATATCCAGATGAATTCAGGTAATTACAATCATAACGATTGTTGAAACAGATCCATAGTAACAAACATGAATACATTCACGTTGTCCTTATTCATTTCTATCACAAATACATGAATAAAGCTTATGATCAAGCAAAACTACAACTGCTACATACAAAATAATTACAATGTACCAGTCATATTTGACATTTTATGCGGTCAAATCACTAAGCTATAATCAAAAACCTGGAAGTAATTTAACATTTGAGACCAACATATCATTTGAGACAGTGAGCACAGACTCACACTCTGTACAAAACTAAACATTTATGTATGGAGTTAAAATTATATTAAAAATACATGCATAAAAATGCACGAATCCACACTCAGCAACATCTCATGATAATTTCTCAGTTTTTGTGCATTAAAGCAAAATGATGTGCATGTATTTGTGGACTGTATCATGAGTTTACAAGAAGTTGGATACATGTGCACTTTGACGCATACATTTGTGCGAGGTTGTGACTCCATATTTTTTGACCAACTAAAAACATTTGACATTTTCGAAAACAATTCCTGAAAATATGAGAAAAATATAAGAAAACATCACACACACACACACACACACACAATCCTTGAAGAGTACAAATCAGTAGCAACCAGTGAAAAATGTAACAACTCTCAATCAGTGATGTGACTTTAGAGACCCTTTTTTTTGTCTTGTGGCAATTTGACAAAAGTTAACTAAAGCCCTGTACATGAAGACTTGCTAACAAATATATCTCTACATGTCAAATCACATGGGTAAAACCACAGAGTTTTTCTCATTGCCTCTTATACATGTATAACAACAGAACTGTAAAATATTTCAGCTTCATCAGAATGTGCATAGCAAAACTCAAAATAAAATCCGCACCTAAATGTTTTAGAAATGCTAACATAATATTTCCAATGACAAACCTTTACCTATATGCAAAGCCTGCACAAGAAATACATAATATACACACTCAACTTTAAATTAAACTCCAAAATACATCTTGTGCAAAGGATGAAAGTTATGGAAAAGACAACGCAGATGATTAAAAAAAAATTCACCTCCACATACATAAATAAAACTCTTAAATTTAGAAGAAAGGGGGATTGTGATCACACTCATGTGGCATAATTTCAGAATTATTATTATTTTTATTTTTTGGCAAATCGTAATAAGGGAGACACTGATGGGAGGTTTTGGTCTTTAGCCACCGCCATAAAGTAAAAGGGTGTAAATGCATCATGATATTTTAACAACAACCAGATTTGCCCTGAGCAAGCTGAATCTTTGAATAGTGCAAATAGTGCTTGAGGCCAGAGCCATACACATACTGAGTTGGGCCCCAAGTGAACCGCAAAAAGACAACGCATCAGCCTTTCCCGAGCAGCAACTAACACTAAAGTTATGACACAGGAAATCACATGCTGACTATACGGTTTCAATTCACTTTGAACTTGGAGAAAAGATAATACATACGCTTTACAATTAATATCCAGACTTGTTCATTTACATAAGCGAGCATTAAAGGCTAAATGTTCTCAGGCAGATATCTGGCTAGTTTACAGCTAACTGGAGAACTCAGGAAAATTCCCTATATGATGCCCTGAAAAGAAATGTTTTTAAACGACCCTTTACGTCAGGTAAATCTGCCCTTCTGTCTTGAGTTTGGCCTAACGTTGTACATTTATGGCTCTGGTTGTTGTGACAGTAATATCACTCGCACCTGCATGTGCTCGGTGACGTCACCTGAGGGAGTGAGAGGCACGAGAGAGGAGCCGTCTCCTCCTCACACTATAACCAGCTCTGCAGCGTGTTCAAGTTATTCTCCATCCATCGCATGTTCAGCTTAATGGTCTCAATGGCCTCCTGCACGATCCTCATCTGAGAACCTTTCGTCCCCAGAGAAGTGAAGAAGTTCTGGGCCTGGACGAGAAAAACAATAATGTAGTAAAAATACTTCAAGTAACATTTAACTGTTTTTCATTTAAGCAAAGGTATGGGGGCTGAACAGACCTCCACGAGATGTGTTTTTGTGGAAAACTGACTGGTTGCGGACATGATGATGCTCTGAATGGCAAAGGACCCGACAGGAAATCTTGCAAGAAAAAAACAAACAAACAACAACATTAAATTGCAGACCGAATACTTTAATGCGTAAAAAATTAGTTCAGTATAGAAAAGGGCTTACATGCAAATTATCAAGCCTAAAACATTAGAAAATGCATTAAGATATTTATCAGCACTTTTCTGAGAAGTCCTAACAAAATGACTAATTACAGTACATCAATAAAGTTTTTCATGTTTTTTGAAAGAAGGCTCTTTTGATCACCAAATCTGCATTTATTTGATCAAAAACACAACAAAAACAGTAATATTGTGTAATGTTATTACAATTAAAAATAATGGTTTTCCCTTTTTTATACATTTTAAATGTAATTTATTCCTGTGATGGCAAAACTGAATTTTTAGCAGCCATTACTTAAAGGGATAGTTCACCCAAAAATGTAATTTTACGAAGCTACGAGAATATTTTTTGTGTGCAAAAGAAAAAAAAAAAATTACTTTATTCAACAATTCGTCTTCTCCGCATCACCCTGTAGCGCCATTTTGGAGAGTATCAGCTGGACGTAAACAGCGTATGCTGTTCTGTGTCAGCTGTGCCACACAGATACGCTGTTTTCGTTCAATCAAATCACAACCACATAGGAAACAGATCCGGCGAATATTCTCGTAGCTTCATAAAATTTCGGTTGAACCCCTGATGTCACATGGATTATTTTACAGATCTCCTTGCTACGTTTCTGGACTTGGGAACATCCTTTAAGTCTTCAGAGTCACATGATCTTTCAGAAATCATTCTAAAATGATGATCTGTTGATCAAGAAACATTTTTTATTATTAATGTTGAAAACCATTACACATTTTCAAGATGTTTGATGAATAGAAAGTTCCAAAGAATAGCCTTTTGAAATCTTTTGTAACAATGTAAAAGCCTTTACTGTCACTTTAGAACATTTTAATGCATCCTTGAAAAAAAAAAAAAAGTATTAATTTCCTTCCCAAATTTAAAAAAAAACATTTATGACCTTTACCCACTAAATAAACACTCCTTAAGGTGTTTTCCTGACCATATACCTTGTTGTCTTGTTATTATGTTATTGTTATTAGCACATTATATGCATGACTAAAAAGTGTAATGACATTTACATTAAATGTGTCGATTCAAAATGTTGCTAAAAAAATAATAATAATTTAAGTAACCCTCCTCCTCCAGATTTGTTTTTTCTTTTAATACAAGCTCACCACTCACTTTTGAGTGATTTTATCCCAGTTCTCCTTCACAAAATCCCAAGCATAGAGGTAGCCAGCAAAGTTCTTGCAAATTGTTTTCATCACCAAAGGAAATTCTTGAGTTTGAATCTCACTCCCATCAAGACTTTTCTGTAGAATCCTAAAAGGGAAAACCAAATTCAATTCAGGTATGCTTGTGCTGACAGCTCTGACAGAACATGTTGTTCAGCCTTACCATATGATTTTCCGTACATCCTGAGTGCTGGCCAAAGCTTCCAATGTCTTGCGCTTCTCTGGGTCATTGATGGAGTGTTTATACACGTCTAGAAGCTTACCCCATCCTTCATCTGTCTGAGCAGCAACTTTGAAGACTGTTCTCATGAGATCACTGGGAATCCTAAATCAATAAGGCATGTATCACAAGATGTTCCTCTGTTCTCAAGAATTACTGCGGTGAGGAGTACAAAAGTCAAGAGCTCTTTCCTTCTCCTTTTTGCAAATCACAAGATTAAAAGAGAAGTTATTCAGCCAAGAGTCAATCACCACACAAACTTACTGAGAAGTCTTGTTGGAAGTGAACCACTGATCAAACAGATGCTTGGCCTGTGTTGCGCAGTTACGTATGTTAAGAGAACATGCCATCTCCAGCAGGGCAGACCGAAGCGTCATCTTTGACACAGAAGTTTCCAGATTCCATGACTGATTCTCCATTAAACTTCCAAAATGGTCCTCAATGTAACTCTGCAAAGATTGAATTCCAAGAAAACATTCAAACAAGTTTGTTTTGGGCTTTTTTTTTTTTCATTTCATTTGACTACAACAGCCACACAAGATGTTGCACTTACCGTCATTCTAGAGGCCAAGTTCAACTCTGATCTTTTGTCCAGCAACCTGTAGATCTGACCAAGCTGGAAGAGAGCTTCGGTCAGAGGAGCCGTCTCTGTCTCATTTCTCATGTAATCCATTAGATTTAAGACCAGTCTGAAAGACACCTTGCCCGATCTGGAGGAAAGTTGAAGAATAGATTTTTTATTTTCACTCATTTACTAAAAAATGTACACTACTGTTCAAACGCTGGGGTCAGTAAGACTTTTTTTTTGTAAAGAAATGAACACTTTTATTCAGTCAAGGATGCATAACTTTTTTTTCTTTTGAACTTGCTATTCATTAAAGAATCCTGAAAAAAAAAATGTATCATGGTTTCCACAAAAATATTAAGCAGCACAACAGCTTTCAACATTGATAATAGTAAAAAATGTTACTCGAACACCAAATCATCATATAAAAATGATTTCTGAAGGACCATGTGATCTTAAAGACAGGTGAAAATTCAGCCTGATGTCACA